GGACAATGAATTCAACATCAATCAACAAAGAATTCTATCTTTAATGTCATGGCAATTGTGCTCTAAGGACCATCCATGCAAGGATATGTTCAAGTATTATTGAAAGATTAATGCAATGAATTACAGTAAGGCATTCTTAACTTAAGCTCTTAAACATGTTTTTGATTTAGGATTTTAAAATTTTTTGGACTTGAGTATCACTGAAGAGACATTGTTGAAATGCTCCTCTTGTGCAGTAAAATTGGTATGGTTAATATGCATGTAATTGAGCTTTGTTGTGAAAATAGTATTTTTATGTACAATTGGTCATCAAGAAGGACGCATATATAGTATATAAAGTGATATGAATATACAAGATGGCTAATGTTCAACACAAAAGCTACATGAAATTTAGAGTTCAGTTTGAATCATACAATTATTTTTTTTTAATCAAGACGGATGTACATGTATGTGTACATGTACCAACATATACATTGAAGAAACAACATCCATGTTCATGTAAGACAGTCGAAAAATGAAATTTACAACTTAATATTTTCTATCAAAGTACTCAGTGATATTGTTGTCTTTTTTCAAAACTACCTCTACCGTTTTTTATTGGGAAAAATGCATATTTTTTATGGAAATTGGGAAAATTGTATATTTTATTCTGAACACATCAGCGATTTTTTGCTGACCTTTGCTGTCTTTTTTGCACTGTTGTTTTCATGTATATTTTGGTTGTCAGACATTTTCAACCTAAAAGGTACTTTTCAGAGAGGGGAAAGAAACAGAAGCAATGATGGTACTTAATGCATTGAAAACCACTTGTTTTACAAACACCATGATGATTCTGATCAGAAAACCGGATCTCAAAAGTGCTTTCTAATATCAAAATAATAACATGAATACGATATTTACAATCATTACTACCAATGCCATCACTGTTTTGGGAAAATGTAAAACTTTTTGGGAGGAATTTTAAGCCATTTTTTTTAGTAATTGGGAATTTTCTCTAGGGGAAAAAGCTGAATTTCGGCTGTAATTTGAGGCAAACAATATCACTGGTACTGAAGATACCAATTACAAATATGTAAACAAAAAAAACATTGGTCAAACTGACATAAAGAATGTTTTGAAAAATTGTTTGCTTGGCTTAAGATTGTTGAACTCACAATATCTGAAATTAACAATTTTCCCTCACACATACACACATGTACGTGAATTAAAGAGACAAAAGACCCTAAAACCAAACAAAAAATATCAATCATCCGAGAATGAACTCTGCCAGTAAATGTGTAAACGTACAATGTAGGCAAACATTCAAAAACTATGCCATAATTTGGGAATGTTGCCTCCAATAAATCTTGATGTTACAGTTCAAAACTATTTCGCACTTATTCATAGTATAGTTTTTTTCTCTCTTTATCAAAGATGTATACACATAATGTATGTGAATAATCAGAATGTCACATAATTATGATACATTTGTACTGATATTGAAGTTATTTTACAGATATATTTCTCAGTGGTCTCATCTTCAGATAGAACCAAGTTCTAAAATTCATTATTATTTTGTCGGAGAGCACTTGCTTAGATTTTCTTTCAGATATTATTTTCAAGAATATTAAGAATATATACACTGTTTTATTCATGAATCAATCTGAAATTTTACATGGGCAGATGCATTGCAATTTCCACCATGTGTCAATTTTGAGGGTGATAGCTAAGCTGAACATTATTCAAATTAACAAAACTTTACACTATTTGGTCTTGAGGCAACCTTCAGACCCAGTATGATACAGATTCTCTTGTTCTCAATAAATTTCTAAAATAACCTAGCCAACCTTTACTTGTTTACCAAATTCAATAATGGTAGCACTCTACAGTTAGGTGTGTAGTTTCGCATTTTGGCTCCTGTGGATTTTTAAATATGAGAGCTAATGTGCAATAAAATTCATTTTTGGAGCTGAAGATTAATATAGCCTTCATAGTAGGTTTATAGGAACATCTAGATTGTTTAATGCATGTATTATTAAATCATTATGTTATGGGCTGTTTTCTGTATGACAGTCCGTATTTTCATATCCATACCAGACATCTGTCCGGCAATTTTTGCTTTGTTTTTTCTAACTTTTTGTCGCACAAAATTTGTGATTAAATTTTACAATAAAATGAGGCAAAAGATACCCAATTTTTATTTGATCATTTAGTAGATTAATGTCAACAGTTTTCAGAAAAAGTATCACTCATAGGCATTGAAATTCTAGTTTAAACCAAATTTTGGGGGAATATGTGACATTTTCATGCCCCTTTTTGCAATATTTAATATAAATATATAAATAAATGCAGAATGTTGCCAAGGATACACAAATAAACTGCTTCGCTGAGCGCAGCTAGATACGCCCGCAGAGGTCCAACCCTGAACAGTTGGGGCAAAAATAGACACAATATTCAAGCTTGATTCAGGTCTGAATTTGGATTGTAATTAAATATTTGACATATTATAGGTTTCTGAATAAATGTATTCAAAGAACTTGAAATTAGTTATATGAATTGATTTATGTTCAATTAAAGATTTCTTGCTGTTGTGCAATACTTAGTAAATCTGTTGTCAGACTATAAACAAATAAAGTATAATTAATTCTCAATGTCATATTAGAAATTTATGAAAATAAAAAGGGAGCTTACATCAATAGATATAAACAATTCACCAAAGTTTCATGAGAATTGGTGACAGCATTTTTGAGTTATTGTCAGAAAACTGGAAAATCACCCCTTTTTAATGAATAAAACCCCATAACTCAGAAATTTAAAATGTAAAATTTATAAAATTCTAAAGGGAGCTTACATCAATACATACAAACAATTCACCAAAGTTTCATAAGAATTGCTGAAAGCATTTGTGAGTTTTTGTCTGATAACTGGAAAGTCCCCCCTTTTTTATGAATAAAACCCTGTAACTTGGAAACGTAAAATCTAAAATTTATAAAAATCAAAAGGGAGCTCATGTCAATACATATAAACAATTCACCACAATTTCTTGCAAGTTGGTGAAAGCATTCTTGACTTATTGTCCGAAAACTGGAAAATCCCCCTTTTTTTAATGAATAAAACCCCATAACTCGGAAACGTAAAATCTAAATTTCATAAAAAACGAAAGGGAGCTCACGTCAATAGATATAAACAATTCACCAAAGTTTTATGCAAATTGGTTTAAGCAATTTTGAGTTAATGTCCGACATGTTGACGACGGACAGACGGACGGACAGAGGTATACCATAATACGTCCCGTAAATGGGCGTATAAAAAGGAATTATTTTTCACCATTTTAACTTTGGAAAATTATGTCTATGGAAGATACTGATTACATACATATGCACATGTATGACACAAACAGTTGGCTTAATGTATTAGAAAGCCAGGAATAGAAGATCTAGATGATTAAACATTTTGTGGTTCAATTTTAATTTTATTTTCTTACTGTGGAGTGCTACCAAAAACAAAAATTTTAGAAGTCAAATATATGAATCCTTTTAAATAAACACTAAAAGGGTCTAGATCTAAGAGAGCCAAAACCATATATGGACAATGTAAAAATCATGTGAGAGTCCACACGCTGAAATGAATTTTGAATGTCTATACATTTTACTGTCTTTCAAGAAAATCAAAAGATATTTAACTATTTTATTTCATGCACATTAAGTAGATGTAAATATTTATTGGACTTCTATCCATCTGAAGCTGTAGTTTTTTAACATCATTAAATTATTTTTTTTTTAACAATGTGAACATGTGACCTCCACTGGCACCTTGTCCCTTTTAATTTATACAACATGTAGCTGGAGCACTGACGTACATGCAAAAGTGTGATCTGGGCATTATACATGTAATACAAATGTATGCAGACTGAAACTTCATTTTTATGGTATTTACCAATCCATTATCTCGTTGGTAGTGAAAAACGTCAAAAATCAATATTTTTTCACCTAGAACAATACTTTGAATGATATCTATATACCGTAACAACAAAGTCGGTGACCCCATGATTATTTTACATCATTAAAACGAAAATTAATGGACCAACAACATATAGTTTGTTGAGAAATTTCTATAGAGTAGAAATTTGAGATTTTATGATTTTAAGACAAATTTAAGAACATTTTTCGCTCATTTATGTGCTTTCTATACAAATATTAACCTACTTTGAAGGAATTCAATCAGTTATATTTCAGAAATAAAAAAAGATAAATGCATTATTTTTTCAATTTTCAGTTATAGTTCAACGAGCCAAAGATGTATGAAAAATTTTACCATTTGTGACATAGCCTATTTACTGTAACTTGACCTTAAGCTGTTGATTAGTTTCAGATTCAATCTAGAATTGTAGCAATTACGTATAAAAAAAGGTCTACATACTATAACCATTCCAAAACAACTGCATTTCAATATGTAGCATATCAGAATGTATTGTGATGTATGTAGAAAAGAGGCGGATGATACCAAGTCCAAGGGGTCAATCATAATGTCAAAGAGAAACAGACACCATGGCAAAAAACGAAATTCGAAAGACAAAGACATAAAAGTCCACAAATCACTTCATAGAAAACTGAAGACTGAGCAATACCAATCCCACCAATAACTGGGGGTGATCTCAGGTGCTTGGAAGGGTAAGCAGATCCTGCTCCACTACTACATTGTATTTAATGAATTTCCAGAGAAATGAAAGTTCCTGTCTTGTACAAGAATGGTCACGCCCCTATTTTCAGGTTTTAAACTTAATAAAGAATTAGATTATGAAAGTAATCGCAAGAAAAAAGTTTCAAAAATGATAATATCAAGGAAATTGAGAGTCCATACTTCAATCTGATTAAAGTGATTGGAAATATATCCCCCAGACATGTGCCCGGAAGTGAAATTGATAAATGTCCCGATGTGGAGTATTCCTAACACTTGAAGCAACAAATACATTTTACAATGGAATTTGGGATAAAATATACTGATTAAGCGTGATTTTTTACCTGTATGTTTTGTATTAAATAAATAAGAACCGTTTTACTGTTTTAGTTCTTCACTGGAAAACTTTTTGCCGGTATGACAGTCTGACTTTCCTTCTATAGGAAGTGATTAAAAAGGGAAGATGACATCAGAACTTTCCCACAATTCCATGTAATTACCGTCTTTAGGTTAAAGAACGTTCTTTGAACTTCTAAGAACTGGAGATTATTTCGCAACATTATAAATTATAAAATACGTAGAAACACGAATACAACCTGCAGAATTCTGCAATCGTTACTGTTTATATATATATGGAAAGAGTTCCATATGGCACCCCCACTGAATAAACTGTAATAAATTATTGTGTTCTTTTAGTATGGTGGGGGCGCCATATCTTGGACTATTATACTAATTATAGTATAATAGTCCCAGGCCATATGAAACTCTTACCATATATAATATTTGTTTTGCATGCACACGTATAAAAATAGCGGTTTTTATCCAACGCAATCATAGGTTTGAACGTTGTTTTCAATTTAGACTTGTATATATGAGTCATATATATATATATCAAATGTAAAACAAAGATAATATGTCTTATATTCAACCAATAACAGGAGATGAAATAAAATAAAGCCTCTAAAATCCTGAAAAATGGTAAATCCACTGCAAAGGACTTGATTTCAAATGAAATGATCAAATAAGTTATTTAACCTTATTTTCAAAAAGGAACATTTCCTAAGGTGTGGAATAAAAGTTTCGTTTCTTTAATACACAAAAAGGACAATAAGCAACTTAGCTGGACCCTTCAAATTACAGAGGAATTTCTACAACCTCTAACCTAGGAAAATTATTTAACAAAGTTATATATATGAGAATTACAAAATTTGTCAATGAACATAACTTGTGACATTATTAGCGAAAACCAGAGACATATATATGTCTCTGCGAAAACCAAATTGGATTTAAAGAAAAATCCCATACCTCAGATCACATACATCTTAAAATTTAATCTATAATTGAACATAGAAAAATAAGAAACAGAAAGTGTTTGCTGCCTTCATTGATCTCAGGAAGGCTTTTGATACAGTTTGGAGAAACTTGGATTATTTTATATCCTTCTGGAACTTAAATTACCATGTAAACTTTTTAATATAATTCCGAGTCCATGAACGACGATACTATATGTAGAATTAAATTCCCCAATGGTCTCAGTGAAGAATTTGCCTCCACCCGTGGTGTTTAACAGGGAGATCGATGTACTCAGTCCATTATTACTTACTCTTTACATAAATAATCTGGTTAAAAGTCTCCAAGATGCTAATACAGATTCCATTGTAATTAGAGACACAACAATAAATTCCCTTTTATTTGCAGATGATATAGTTTTATTATCAAATTCTGAAAAGGGATTACAAACAGCTTTAAATGCTATTAGTGATTTTTGTCAATTCTGGAAACTAGAAGCAAACGTAAACAAATCAAAAGTCATTATATTTAACTCAAATGGAAAAACCCATAATATTTTTTTTTTAATATAATAATGAATTCCTGGAAACAGTTAAATCATAAGTACTGCTATCTTGGCATGACACTGCAGCACACAGGAAATCTAAATCTATGCAGCTCATTTCTTCTGGAAAAGGGCAGAAAAGCCCTATTTAAAATTTAAAAAAAAAACGATTAGACTTGATAACCAATGCAAGCTATTAGAAAAATTATTTGAACCCCTTGTTGTGCCTATTGCTCTATACGGCAGTGAAGTATGGGGAATAGGCAAACAACACAGGGATTCAGATCCCTTTGAACACTTGCAGTTTAAATTTATTAAATAAATTCTAAGAATACATTGCGAAGCATCAAATGCTGCATGTTTAGTCGAGCTGAATAAATTGCCTTTCTATACCAGAATAGAATCTTCAGCAATAAAGTATTGGCTCCATATACTAGAGTCAAATAATTCTCTTGCCTTAGAAATATACAAAGCAACTGCAAAAAACAACTCTTGGATAATAAATATGAAAAATCTTATTTCAAAACTTGGATTTCATTTTATTAATCTAAATACCTCTGTCTAAATCCTTTTGATATAAAATTTTATTTAAAACACATTCAAGAGATAATCTAAGATACAGCCTTTCAAAAGCAAGAGACTGACATCAATCAAAATAAAAAAATAAACTTTTTTAATATACTATATAAACCAAACAAAAGACCCTCATATGTTGATCAATGCAAATCCAAATGTGAAAGATCAACATTATGTAAATTAAAGATAAGTGCTCATACTTTATCTATTGAAAGAGGGCGATATTTAAAAATACCAAAGCAGAGTAGAACATGTCGTTGCTGCAACAATGGAGACATTGAAGATGAACTACATTTTCTTCTATTGAACAACAAATTGCCTTCTTTATCATATAACTTGCTTATATCAATTCTAAATAGTAATTCCCCAACAGTATTAAAACTTGTTGTGAACTATTTGAATGAATGCTTGTTGGTGAAAAACTCATTATTAAAAGGTACTTGATTTCTTGTTTTAAAATAATTTATATGTTTTTTATATTTTTATATATTTCTCTCATACTTATCCAATGTCACTCCTTCATTGTACATATGTTATTGTAGTTTTTCTGTATTTTGTTGCCATAACCATTTATTGTTAATGTGTTAGTGCTAATAAAGTTGTGTAACTGTGTAATTATATTTATTGCCCTATAATAATATTTATCTTATGGTTAATATTTTTCTTCATCGTTGGTTGTTATTAACGTTACTATTTAAGATTTGTTAGGGGAAAAAAATTGTACACTAAACCTACCACCCTTTAAACTAAAGGAATTTCTGCTCAGATTACAAATGAACAGGTTTTTGAAACGCAAGAAATTGCTAAATTAAGAAGTTTAGTACCACGACCTCATAGATAAATATTCAGTGTCTACTTCAAATAATACAAGATGGTCTCGAGTTATAGATTTCAGGTGCTGAAGTTGTGCGTCTTTTTTTTTTTACTTTACTTGACAGTGTTCCCTTTATTTGTCTTTGTGCTAGACCTACTATGTTCTTTTGGTCGTATGACTCTGGACGTGATTCGGTATTTATGCATCCAGCTATCGAGTTTTTGGCTTTGGACGTTCTGGTGGGTCCTGAGTTGCGATTCGCACGCAAGAGGTTTTTACACTTGTTTTTATTTTGTTTACCCTTGTCTTTATAGTTTACTTTATTTGTATTTTATCGAGAACGTGTATTCTATATAATACTGTACCAGAGGCGGATCCAGCCATTTATAAAAGGGGGGTTCCTAACCCAGGATTAAAGGGGGTTCCAACTATATGTCCCCATCCAAATGCATTGATCGTAAAAAAAAGGGGGTGTCCAACCCCTGGAACCCCTCGCCCGCCCCCTTGTTTCCGCCACTGTGTATGTATTATCAACTACAAAAAATGTTTTGTCGGTGTCTTTGTTAGACTTATATTTGTATGTTTGTTGGAATTTGTGAGTCAGTTGTCACGGTTGTATGTCTGTGATGCATCTTTACACATTTTTGGCTGCTGAGTCCCAATTATTGTCATATTAACCTATTATGCCTGTGTGTTTTGCTCACCCAATTGTGTCACTATGACGGAAATATAAACAACTTGGGACGTTTAGTTAGTTATAAACCCAGGTTTAACCGAAAATGCATGTACCCAGTAAGGAATGTGACTTGTTTTTCAAGTTTGTTCCGTTAGTTTATCAATCTTTATTGCAAAATTACACCCATAAAGGTCAAAGCAATACAAACAAACAATACAATTACATAAAATACAATAGAACACATTTTAAGAAAGAGTTCAATTAACAAATTTATGTAAAAAACGCAATTATAGACTTGTCTGACCCCCTCAGTTCTAAAGACTGCTTAATGAAGACTCCAATGTGACAAACGAGTTCAGGGTGGGGTTTAGAATTTGTTTTAGTTTATAAAATGCATCAAGATGTTTAAATAATGGTACATAGTCTTTTAGATAAGCAAAACAATTAGTTTTGAATTTCCCATATTAATAAAAGACAATGTTTGGATGAGGAATCCAATTTTGAAAGTTTATTTAAAGTAGTTTTTTCACATTCCTCTGAAACACACTTCTTAGTATTACATTTTAAGTTTTTAACAATTCTCAGACAGTAACACTAACTCATCTGCGTAACTGAGAGTTTGGATACTTGAAGTATCAAGAACTGGAGGGTTACAAGTTTCATAAAAAATTGAATGTAAATCATTAATATAATAATTAAAAAAAGTAGGACTCAAACTGTTCCTTTGTCTTACACCTCTAATAATGGGGAAAACAAAGAGTGTTCATTACCAATCTTCAGTGCAGACTGACATAAGCTATGCATATTTTTCAATGCAGTATAAAATTTCACACCAACACCATCACTTATCAATCTATACAACAGGTCATTATGCCAAACAGAGTCAAAAGCACCACGCAAATCTACAAAACAAGCAAACCGCTTTGTCTTAATTTTTTTTTAAGTATTTGCTGACAAGAGTTTTTAAAATAAATATGCTATCAGATGTTCTATATGGTTTGAACGGAATCCAAATTGGTGACTGGAGAACTTGTTTCCATAATGCTTTATAAGTTTTTTAATTAAAATAGAGCTATATAATATTGCTAGACGGTTTGAAATAGAAATACCTCTATAGTTACATATGTCTTCCTTATCTCCAGACTTATGGATTAAAACCGAATAAAAGCTTTCCTCCAGCTGGTGAGGTAAATACCAGATTATAAAATAAGATTAAAAAGTTCATAAAGTTAACGTTTGATTTTTTCAGTTTATACGAACTTCTCCCTTTTTAGCTCACCGGGCCCGAAGGGCCCCATCTGAGCTTATGCCATCACTTGGCGTCCGTCGTCGTTTGTCGTCGTCGTAAACTATTTCAAGAATCTTCTCCCCTGAAACTACTGCGCCAAATACCTTCAAACTTTAACTGAATGTTCCTTAGGGTATCTAGTTTATAAATTTTATCCGAAGTTTTGATACATCAACAAACATGGCTGCCATGGCTTAAAATAGAACATAGGGGTCAAATACAGTTTTTGGCTTATATCTCTAAAACTAAAGCATTTAGAGCAAATCTGACAGGGGTAAAAATGTTCAATTGGTCCAAA